AAGGTTTCAAGATCCAACGCCTCGCCAGGTGCCAAAACACTTGGCACCACAATTTCTCTAGAATCCATACAAAACCAAAGTACAACTTTCACTTCGATCCCATCTGAATATCCGTATGATCCTAAACCTTAAACCCTGAACCCGAAACCCTGAACCATGAACCCTAGGCCCTAGAGCAGGTGTCAACTTGCAGCAGCTGACTGGGGAGGATCGGTGCAAGGTCCCGAAAGCCATCTGGCAGGCAAGGGCGCGCTCTCTTGTGAGCTCACAAAATGAAGGGGTTTGAATGAGTTGAGTCAGGCTTTGGCGTATGTTATATCAGCACATGAGACACATATTGGGTTTCTTTATTTCTGAGAAGCTGAACCCCGAGCCCTAAACCCAACCTCAAGATCAGAAGCGTCCCTGAACCTACATCCCCCAACAGCGCCCCGAATCTTTCGAGCAGTAGGCCCCAAACCCTAAACCCCTAAACCCCTAAACGCCTCAACCTCTAAGCCCTGAACCCTTAAACCCCTAAGCCGATAAAGAGCGAAAACCTTAAAGCCATAAGTCATAAGCCCAAAGCCTGCGCCGACATCGCAGACTTCTAGACTTCTTTAAGGCTCAAAGCCCCTGGCTTTGGGTTCAGGGTTCAGTGTTTCAGTGTTTAGGGTTTTTAGGTCCAGCTACGCTTGGTCACTCTGGTTTTGGGTTTGTGGGAAGCAGAAATCCCTGGGCATTTTGGTGAAGGCAGCGTGTGGGCGCGTGTGCGTGCTCCACAACCACACGAAAAACCTTTGTGAAACTCTCGCTCGCAAAGCTGCATGAGACTCGGTACAACCTTCTGTTCGCGTTTGCACCAGCTTCAATTCCCAACAGACTTTATTTCGAGTCGCATGAAATCCAAGGAACATCTCCAGGTGTTCAAGTCTCCAAGCAGCGAAATTTAAGGCGTATCCGAAGCTGGGCAGGCCGGCAAGACTCCTTCTTCAAAACATGGAACCTATTGACTGTGAAACCCAGGCACCCGAGCCATGACAGACCCGTACAGGATTCCGTCGATCGATCCATCAAGCGGTTGATGTTGGATTTCGACCTCACCGACGAACCGCACGGGCCCCGGGTAGGTAGACGGTTGCGGTTTAGGCATTTATGGCTTGGGTTGCGGGTTTAGTACGGTCTTTGGGGCTAGGATGCAGGGCTGAAATGCTGCAAGGGGCAGGGGATTCAGTTGGCAGGTTAGAAGTAGTGGTGCTCGAATTAGTATCACCTCAAGAATCTGCAGTTCAGTTGCCAAGCAAACATGACCTTTTTCGTCCTTCAGCATCCAAGTAGAATGCAGTACTGCCGGTGTCTAGTTTTTTTCTGTTCAGGGATGAGCCGTACGGGTGTAGTAAGGTTCCGATGCTTCTTGCGATGCTTGAAACTTTCAAGGGTGGGCTCAAGGGATTCTGGGCCCTCGCTTGTGGTTTTGGGTTCAGGGTTTGCGGTGTAGCATTAGCTTAAGCCCCCCTCAACCCCTCAACCTCTAGAAACCTAACCCTGGAACCCGTGTAAGTCTCAAATGCTAAACCCCTGGCCCTAAACCTAAAACCGTGAAGCCTTTTCATCCAAGACTGAACAGGGAGTTTCCGAAATCAAGGAACAAGATATATCGTAGGATCCTCATTCTTGCTACAAGGAGGCCTTAAAAAGCGAGCTGAGGTTTAATAACCCGCCTCATGATGAGTGTTTCGGGTTGGGTTGCCGGGGCTTTCATGATTTCGGGTCCTGGAGGCATCGATTTTCTGAAGCCCGAAGCCCTATCCCCTGCACTCTAAGCTCCAGACCCCAAGCCGTGAACCCTAGACCCAAAGCCCTAAATCCTCATCCCTGAGTCAACACTGTGCCTCGAAGGTCCTGTCGCCTGAACCACCTAGATCGAATGCACGACTGGTCTGGACCCCGGACTTTCAGCGAGGGTTCAAGGTCAGGTCGTCTTTGCCAGGCTACAAGTATCAGGTGAGCTGACAGCTCAGCTCGAATGGCTCATCTTCTCATTCTAATTTTCATCTCTGCATCAACCTGGCCGTCGCCATCGTCATCGTAATGTCACCAGCCACGGGATGCAGCACGACCACAGAGGTGCTAGTGTCCTCACTCACTGTGACGACGGCCAACTGTAGCAGAATTGACAAGCCAGGCTATGTGGCACACCAGTGTCCGCTTCACTCTTACAAAAGCTCCAGACGACAGGTAGCAGTTATGGCACGTTGCAGTGGCAAGCTTCGACGCGTAGGCAATAGAGCACCAACTGTCAAACACCCCACTTTCCGCTAACCCTGAACGCAAATTACTTACGAAGTAAAGACATCGGAAAGGGGCCTGAACAGTTCGAAATGGTGTTCCCTTGCAATCCGTATATATTCATAGTATGCAAAACTGCAACAGCCTACTGTAGCATTAGGGCTTCGGAATTACCTCGAACCGCACGAGTTTGAACTCTAACATGCCCGTCGAAGTCACAGGGCCAAAGACCGCGCGCCTCATGTATGGATTAAAGCTCAGGACTTCTCCGTGGAATTATTTCTCTGATTGTTGTACCATCGGCGCAACTCAAAACTTAGTATAGTTGAAGCTACCGCAAAGCTTCGTAGCCTTGCATCAAGCAGCCGAATCATATAAACCTTGAGTGCGAGAGTTTAGAGCCTTGGAACTCCGGAGTCCCATTCGCTTGAACTCCTACTGGGAGGATCATGGGTAGCCATAAGTGGGGCTATAAGTAGGGAAAGAACGTTTACAATTTCATATTGAGGGACTTGTAACCCCACATATAACTGCCCCTGAACCCTAAACCCTAAGCCATAAACCCATACTATAGTTACCCTACTTCCCACTTATAACTACCCATCAACTCCTCAGCGAATCCGCAAAATCCCTAAACCCTAAGCCCCCAACGCCCAAACACCTGTACCTAATTTCTCTCTGAGCTTTCTTCCCGGAAAGCTGAAGACCCTAAACCGTCGAGCGAAAACCCTAGTTCCTAAATCCCGATACCTTAAACCCTAAATCCTAAACCCGAATACGGCCTTAAAATCCTAAACTCTACTTGGAGGTTCATGGGTAGCTTTAAGTAGGGTTACAAGTAGGGTGACTATACTTACAACCCATGGTAGGGGACTTATAACCCTACTGACAACTCTGCGCAGCTAGAAAGAGCAAGGTTCGTCCGTCACGGACCGAAGCGCAAGGCACCCCAACGGGCCTCCGCCTGAGACTGCCGTACTATTGTTGGGACCTAAACCGGACCCTAATTTAGAGAACTACCCTTTATGGTTTGAGTATGGTAGAAGCCAGAAAGTTGGAACATGACTTTCCTCATGCCCTTAAAGTGCCAGGCATCTCCACGATCGAATTGTCTGTGGTTCAGTGTAGTGTTTTTCTAGGGCCCGGGCAGATAGCAGATTCTCAAGCTTTTTTATCGGGGCCTTAATTATTTAACCAAGGCTTCAGTGGTATGCCTTAGCTATACCCACAGTCCTACACCCTGACACTCTAAACCCTAGTCCGCGGTTACATAGGTCTTCGAATTCGATATTTTGACGCTGGAACTTGGAGTTCGGGGAGAAGGGCGGAGGCCTAAACCCTGCACCCTAAACCGATTCTGGATCTTTGGAACTGTGGACTATCACTGAGTTGGGCTTAGTTTTCCGAAATGTGTGCTCTCGTCTGGAAGCCCTGCCTACTCCAGTGCTTCATGCATTCTAGTGGCAAAAGATGCTTTATAAAATGAACCAGCTTTATATGCTGGTTGTCCTGCATGAACACCCATCGCAAACTCTATGGATCTGTAGAAAATCTCGAGCCTCAAGGTGGATGTTGGTCCCAACTACTTGATTGCAGAGAGACGGGGTCGCGAGCCGCCACCGGTGTGGCCCCAAGCCGTGGGCCATGTGCCCTTTGGGGCCTCGTTCAGGGTCATGCTTTGCCAGGCATTCATCGCCATCGGGCGGCAACAATGGCAAGATCGTTGTTATTGTCTTCCACACCATCGCAATCACCAGCACCATCACCATCATTCCATCATCATCAGCATCGTGAAGACGAAGATGAGATGATGATGATGATGATGATGATCATAATAATCATCACCATCGTCATCAATATCTCCTCCACCACCACCACCACCGCCACCACCACCGCCACCGCCGCCACCAGCACCAGCACCAGAACGTCACAATCACCATCACCATAACCATCAGCATAAGCATCACCGTCAGTGTCAGCATCAGCATCATCACCACCCACAATCATCACCATCACAATCATTATCATTATCATCATCATCATCATCATCATCGTCATTTCCCAGCTATCATCATCTTCGACGACGTCGTCATCATCACCATCACAATCATCATC